TTGACAGACGGAAGCACCCAGGCACCCCTCAACTTCAGCAACTTTAAGGGACTAATACCTCCTGCCGTGCGCCCCGTAAACAACAAACTGAGGACGCGCCGTCACTTACGAGCTGCTGAATAATCAGAAGCAACGAACACACAGGACAAAGCGACAAACCAAAAAGCGCCTCCCGCCCCAGCGAGATGGGAAAGAGCAGGAATCCAAACGCTTCATCCGGCCGGAAGGCTTTCACCTGGGAGGCGCGGGCAGGCCATGGGGGCGACAAGGGAACAGGGACTGAGAGGTTCACAAATGATTCCAACACCGTACCTCCTAACTCCTCCATCAAAAAGCATGAACTGAGAACAGACTTAAGGTAATATTCCACATTCCAAAGACAGAGCCAACACTAATTGGGCAACAAGCAATTCATTACAAAATCTCTAAATCCTGAAATCTGAAAACCAAAATCGCTGTTAGAAGTTACCTTCCCTAAAGGTTATCCAATGCATTATTTTGCACTGACAACAACAACAAAATAAATCTTTAAACCACATGTGTGTCCATCCCTCCAGACTGTCCAAAAGCCACCCGGAAATGCTACAGTGACACCACCACTGCAAACAGCAGCTTGGAGCGGCACTTAGCTGTTCCTGTCAGGCCGCAATTCTCAAGATCTCAAACTGTTTGGTCACAGACTCCTTTTACAACTCTTAAGACTCACTGAGGACCCCAAAGATCTTCTGCTTACATGGATTATATCTGACAATACTTGCTGCATTGGAATTATAACTGGAATAAATTCTTAAATGTTTATGTACTTAAGTAAACAAGAACTCTATTACATGTTAACATAAATAACTTAAGACTGTTTTCCAAAACAAAAAATTTAGATACTAATCTCACTGTTTGACATGTTTGCAAATCTCTTTAATTACCACTTAATCAAAGACAGCTATATTCCTCTATCTGCTTCTGCAATCAATCCCTTTGACAAGTAGCTTTGGTAGACACGTATGAAAGAAAACCTGGCAGGACACCCTCCTAACTGGAAGAGCAGTTCAATAACCTTTACAAATAATTGTGGATATTCTTCTCTGATGCTACACCAAAACTCCACAAGTGGTATTTTTTTGAAGATTAATTACAGTATCAAAGTTGAAACCCTATCAATAAACCCCTTATATTGCTGCATGAAAATCCATTGGTCTAGGGGCGCCTTAAAGGTGGAGCCTGTGACTCTTGATCTCAGGGTTGTGGGTTCGAGCCCCATGTTGGGTGTACAGATTACTTAAAACTAAAATAAAAAAAAAAAACACATTGATCTACACTGCACTTTGAATATAACTTTCACCAATATACTTTTATTTCATCAAAATTAAGCTTATCTTCCAAATATTGACACATTATTACAAAATATATTTTTTAAAATGGTAAAATTAGTATCACACTACCAATCTAATCAGAAACATTTTTTAACTACCAGGAAGCTATCAAGCCCACAATTGACAGAAACAAGCCTTCCAAAATTTTAGTTTTTATCTTCAAATTTACTGGCCACCAATGCTGTCAGCTGTTTTCCTTAAAGAGACAGGCTCACTTCATTTTCAGGAAAATGATAAATGGTCCAAGTGTCAATACCCACGGTAGGTACATCATCTGTTTTTTAGATGAAAGAACTCCACAAGAGAAATACTAGTTTAGCTCACAAATCAGACATGTGCTTTTTTCAAAACAACCACTGTACTTTTTAGTATACAGTTTTACGTGTACTTCCCATTTTATCATGGCTTATGTAAAACGTAAATTCGAGTCAGGATTCATTAAAATTAATGTGTTTTACCATTTCATCAAGAAACTTTTAAAGTGTGTGTTACATGTGTAATGAAAAAACACAATGACTACTAGTACAATATGGTGCCTCTGCCTCGATCTGTCCTAAGGCAAGAACAGCATCATCTACTACTGCCTTCATACCATCGATGCAATGTTATTCGAGTAAAAAAGACATAACATTTCAGCACTACTATGAAAACAGTTTCAATTTTTTTGTACTCCTTAAAACGATCTGAGATCCCCGGGGTTCCACAGATCACAATGTGAGAATCACCGGTACCCATTACCATCCCCCAAGAGGTCCCAGTTCTACCTGCTATGACTTCATGAAACTGATTCTTTTTTCCTGACAGCCCCAAATATTTGGGAGAAAAGCTACTGTCTCCCCCAAGTCTTGCTAAATATCTCTTCTAGTAACTTAAACAACATTCTATGAATGTGGTATAAGTACTAGGTCACTGAGGATGGTTACTCTCCTCAAAATCTTTAACTTCAACTTGTGACAGTCAGAACTCAGCTGATACAAATAATGGATCTATCCAGCACAGTAGGGCAGAAATCAGAATACAGTTCCCAGAAAGGCCTTATACTCTATCAATGCCACGAGATTCTCAAGAAGGATAATCTTGCCAGGATACATCTGGCAACATCTGGAGACATTTTTTGGTTGTCACTACTGGAGAGATGGGGGTGTGGGGGTCCTGAAATCTAGTGGGTAAAGGCCAGGGATGCTATTAAACACCTTACAACACAGAGACACCCGCCTTCAAAGAATTATCTGGCCGTAACTGTCAACAGTACCTACCAGAGAAGCCCTGTATTAATGGATCCTAAAGACTAGCCAAATTTTTGGAAGTTTCATCACCACGGCTCTTAAATCATACCAGCCTTTCAAAATTATACATAATATTACATATGAGTTTTAGACAAAATATGAGCACTTACTTGTTCATAATGTTGACCGGAACTTCAACAATCTATTTTGATTTAACCCATTCTGACAGCTCAACAATCCCACCCACATTTAACAGGACAGGCATACTAAAAAGCAGGTGGAAATCAAGCACGATAAGCCTGGAAATCAAAATTCAAAACTTCAAAGAAACGAAATGAAAGGCAATGTGACACCAGAATATGAAAAACAAAGAAAGCTGATTAATGAGGAAAAAGGCCTATTTAACTAGGCAGTCTGGTATTTTTGTTGTTTACTTAAAAATATAGTATACTTAGGGTTAAAAATGAGAGGGACAGCTAATGAAAAACTGGGCATACTGTTCACATTTCAAAAAACACACTGGAAAGCCAATTATCCAAGTGTGAATGTGCTGTCTAACCTGTCTTCCATTTCATATATTTGAACTTCCAAGAAAATTTATGCTCTTAGGCCTTTATAGAAAATGTACACCTCCCTTCCTCAAAGAAGGCTGGGAAAGGATAGATATAAAAGTATTTTTATTTTCTAGAGAAAATGATATAATTATCTTTTATCTCTAATTAAAATACAACTGTTAAGTTGTACATTTCCTATCGCTGATCAAATTTTAATACCGACACGATCATCACAAAGTTGCTTTTCAAGCATAGCAATAAAATGTGAGCTAACACAAAGAAGTCACATGGCATCAACTAAAAAACATTTACTTATTTTAAATTCGGCTGAACTGAAAAATGCCACACACAAAAAATCAGTATCCCCAGTGTCTTTCTACTCATAAAAGGATGAATGAATCAATTAACAGGGATCTTGTAGATAAGATTTTATATCTGCATATTTATTTAAAACCAAGTAATATTGTCATTTGCAGAAATATGTTGACAGGCCTCTTAAAAATGACAGGAGTGGTTAAGGAGGAGGAGCATGAAATTCTTTTTAAAAATACCGTGTAAATAGCAATAGGTATCTTAAAGCCTGTGTCGAAGTTAGAGCCTCACCTGCGCACACGTACACGTACAGAGACACATAAATAAAACTAAAACCATAACCAGTAATATCTGCGAAAAAGGAAACTTAAAAAAAACAAACAGATAAACCTGAGGTGCTGTATTAGGTGTCTAGAAATCATAAAACCTTTATTTTGGACATAAGTAAAACTTCGAGTGTCAATTACACGGTTCATTTGGGGCCTACAAAGAAGAAAATTCGGTCCCTCGTCTCAAAGGAGCACGCTTGCACCAGAATGTTCAAAAATGGAAGAAATGCAGTCTCACATTTAGGCCTCTCCACCGCTGGATACACGCAGGGAAAAAAAGCTGTAATCTACTGTCGATCCCAACAACGAGTACTCAGATTACATCTCATTCTTCGAAACAGAACACCAACTTTTTAAAAAATGCTGCAAGGGTAAGAAAGTGTAAGACGCACACCTGGTGAGATGAGAAGGCAAGGACGGACGAGCTTTAAGTCTACAATCAGAAAAATTCCAAGCACCACTGGAGACGGGGAGTGAAGGAGGCAGGGCACCTCCGACCAGCCCATCACAACAGCACAGACAGCAATACCCAACCCAACGCGCTGCGGAGGACACCCTGGCAAGTGCCCCTTTGCCGACGGTGGGAGGCCTGGGGAGGACTGGGCTGGTTCCGGGGGCGGGGGGGGGGGGGGGGCGGCGAGGCTTCCAGAGAGCGAGGCTCGTCGCTCACAACTGGGCTTTTAGCTAGTGCTCGTGCGAGCTCGGGCGTGGAAGTGGGTTCACTCTGCGCACGATGTGGGCATCTTGGAGACGGGAGGGCGAGAGGGACGCAGCGGAGGCAGACCAGGAGGAGAAGCATCGAAGGGAGCCGGACAGACGCCGAGAGTGAACCTGAGCGCGGTGTGCAGACCCCGCAACCAGCCGGGCCTGCCTTCCCCGCCGCCGGGCATTGTTTTTCCTTTCTCTCCCCCGCCCCCCGGCCCCCGAGCGGGGCGGAGAAGCGAGGGCACTCAGGTTCAGGTTCCCCCGCCCGTTCCGGAAGGGGAAGGCCCCCGGCCCCACGGCCGCGGAGCCAGGAAGAGGTGGGGGGAAGCGGGAACCGAGCACAAGGGAAGTGCGGCGGCGAGCGGGTGAGGAAACAGGAAGAGCCCGGTTCCCGCCTGCCTCCCCAACGGGGCGAGGGCCCGGCTCTCGCGCCACCCCTTCCCCCCTCCCCCGACGCCCCCAAGGCCCCGCCGGCGTGCGAGAGAAAACAGAATACAAATCACTTACAACGGCATCGTCTCCTGCGCCGGCACCGCCCAGTCACTTCCCCCCCGCAACCGCCGCCGCTGCCGCCCTGGGCATGATCCACTGAGGCGGGAGGGAGGGGGGGGCCTGCCTCAGCCCTGGGTCCAACCCCACTCCCGCACCGCTCCCGCCGCTTTAAGCGCTTCTCCTCCTTCCCCTTCGTCCTAACATGGCGCCCGAGCGCTACCACAGCAACGTTCTAGAACTGCTGACGCCGCCACGCACGCCGTGCGCGCGCCTGCGCAAAGGCCACCCGGCGCCGCGCAGCTTCACGGGAATGGTAGTTCGTGAGGCGGGCGGAGGTCGGGTAATTTCCGCCCCAAAGCCGTCGCGCTTCCGCGGTGGGCGTGAGGTGTCGGCTAGCCGAGGTGCGGCAGGCGCTGGTGGCTGTCCGTTCCTCGAGCGGGGACGCTCCTGTCGCCGATGAGCACCACGCGGCACCTCACAATGAGCCGCCGCTCTCGCCGCCGATGTCGCAGCTGCCGCACCTCCCCTCGAACGGCGTCATTGGCGGCGCTCGGCGGGGACCCAGGCGCCCATGCGTGCCGGGTGAGCCGCCCGAGCGCTAGGCTTGGGGCGCGGCCGCTCGGGTTGGCGCCTTGGGTGGCCCGAGTTACTCGGCCTCTTCCTGCTGTCCTGCGAAGTGAGAGTAAGACCCGCTTCCGGGGGCCGTGCGGACTGCTGCATGTGTTGGTTGATGCAGGGCAGCGCTTAGCCCGGGCTGGTCGTTGGGATTCCCCCTCCCCTGTTAGACCGAGGTCCACCCCGCTCGGGCTGTTGGCCGACCTGTCGACCAAAGTGTGTACGCAGGCGCTCAACACGTGTTTGTTGAATGAATGGATTTGCGGGGCAGCGCTATGATGACACCGAGTTCTGGAACGCGAGCTGATTTTACCAGCGGGTGGTGTCCTCGAACCTCCCGGTAAAGCTGCCCTGAAGTGGAAGGATCGAGGGCAGGAACCATGGGGATTTTAGCCCAGACTGTTCTGCAGCCCTCTTCCGTCCCTGGGGTGGGACCTAGGAGCGTGTTCGCCCGCCCCAGCCAAAGCTGGAGTCTTCGTGCCTGAGCCCGACTCTGGTGCTCAGACCTTCCCTCTGCTAATTAGAACACGTTCTGAAGTGTCACACGGAGGGTTTACGGAGGGGCGGGAAGGAATTAAATAAACACGGCAAGGATAAAGTTCTAAATTATTTAAGTAGGTTAATATGGACTTGTATAACCTCAGGAAATTGGGCAAAGGACTTACCTGCTTTCACAGAACATCTAGTCTGACAAGCGGTCGAGGCATAAAGACTGAGTGGAGGAAGCACAGGACCTAAACCTGTACTGTCCCGTGCTATAGCCATTTGTCACGTGGGACTTTTGAGCACTTGAAATGGGCCTCGTCCGTTTAAGATGTAGCGTGAGTGCAAAATACAGATTTCAGAGATCTCCGTAGGAACAAAAGAATGAGATCCCTAACTGATCTCATTTTATAATATATTTATATTCATATATTTATAGGTAATATATCTGCGTTTTGTATTCATTACATGCTGAAATAGTATTTTGGATATACAAAAAAAATTCATTAAAGTTCATTTCATCTGCTTCCTTTTAAAACGTGGCCACTAGAAAATTTTAGATTATATGCATGGCCCTCATTTCTGTTGAACAGCGCTGTTGGGAGACAGACTTGTCCTTGATTCTCACTTCTGCTTGTTCCCTTACCCTCTTGTCATCGAGGTGGTTTTGGTTGGGAACCCAGTAGCAGACCTGCCCTTAAAAGTTTGGAAATCTGAGATCCAGAGAACTCAATAAAATACGTTAAGGCTCTGATGTTAAAATTTGCTCATAAAGATAGGCACTGATGATGTATGTTACAGATTAGAGAATGGGCACTTCTTGAGCTTAAGGCTGTCCTCCACTTGGCATCTCAGAAGGCAGTGAAAGAGACAGGGTCCTTGAAACCTTTGTGCTTTCAGTCTCCAGGTGCTCCACACCGATTTTGTTTGAGCCTTCTCTAGAATGAGACAGCAAGATAGTGCAATTAACGAATATTTATTTAGTACCTGGAATGTGCTAGATGCCATGTTACTTGCTGAAGACAGAAGGAAGTAGACTTGTTGGTGGAATCAAGGTAGATTTCCCAATGTGACTTTAGAAATGTCCTGATAGGGCACCTGGGTGGCTCAGTCGGTTAGACATCTGCTTTGGCAGAGGTCATGATCCCAGGATCCTGAGATCAAGTCTTGTGCTGGGATCCTTGCTCAGTGGGGAGCCTGCTTCTTCCTCTCCTCCCCATTCATGCTCTCTCTCCATCTCAGACTCTCAGATAAAATCTTTTTTAAAAAAATATAGAAATATTCTGGTAGATATATACACTTTTCAAATCTCTATGTTATATACCTGAAACTAACAGCATGTGTCAACTACACATCAATAAAAAAAATTTTTTTAATAAAAAAAGCTTGACCATTAAAAATACACTGACAGAAAAGTTAGGATTTAGTAAGGGAACAGGAGGAGAAGGGAATAACAGGAAACAACTTTAAAAAAAAGAAGTAAAGTACAAATAGCTTAAAGTTTATTTGGAGACAGTGAGACTTTTGAAGTAACTAGACCACAGATACGTGGTGGGAATGAAGCTGCCAAGGACTGAGAGCAGATAATGGGGGGCCTTTGTGTAACAGATCGTTGTGCGCCTGCCACGCACCATCACTGTGCTAAGCTGGGAGATCACTTCCCACTTTGAAAAACAGTCAAGATCCCTGACCCAGTTAGACCATATTTTCTTGGGAAGTGGGGGGCAAACAATAAACCCATAAACAGACAAGGGAATTACAGGTTGCATTAAGAAACATGAATAAAATAAACCAGGTAATAGAATTACGGAGGAGGTCAACTTTAGGTAAGGTGGTCAAACAAGGCCTCGCTTCGAGACCTGGAGCCATCGAGAAGATTCAGCTTTTATCTTTGTTTATGAGTGGGGGTACCATGGAAGGTTTGAAAGCAGTGATGAGATCACATCTACGTTTTCAGAAAGATCACTCAAAAGGTAGGAACAAATTTGAGCTGGGAGAGCTTTTGAAGCTGGAGGGCAGTGTAGTTCTTGCCAGGGTTCAGGTAAGAGATGCTGCTGCTCGAAATAAAGAAGGGACTAATTTCAGAGAGATTTAGGAGATGTAGTTAATGTGAATGAATGTGAGAGGGGAGGGAGAGGAAAAAGACATGATTTCAGACGTTCTAGGGAGGGTGACCTAGTGGAGGGAGCTACCAGTGAATAGGAAACAAGGGTAACTAACAAGGGTGAGTAGATGAGGTCATGAGAGTCACTTGGTATGGGTTTTTTGAAGTGCCTGGGGGTCCTTTAGAAATGCCCATCAGGTGAGCGAAAACATGTTTCAGGAGCTAAGTCAGGGCTGGAGATAGAGATTTTAAACTCTGAAAGTAAAAATTGCATCTTGGAGTCATGTTTCAGTTCACGGAAGGAAGGGCCCTCCGTACACCCAGTAACTACAATCGAATCCAACCCAAACTTCACCAGTGGGTAATAAGCTAGGCGTTCAGTATCCCCAACATTTAGGGTCCACCGAAGAACAGAACTTGAGCCAAGGAAAGTGGAGCGTGAGATAAAGCCAGTGACTAGTATACCGGGTTAACACAGGACCCCTATTGTTAGCCTTGCCTTGCTTGTCCTCAGAGCCCTGCCCACTCCCTCCAGCTGCTGCCCCATCCCCACAGCCCTCACCCTACCACAGTGCCTGTGTTCTACTGACTACAGACACGGGGGATGGCACTTCCTACTGATGTCTTAAGCATCATTCAGATTGCATTTTCCACAGAACAATGTCATAAGTAGCGGGGAGTTCCTAAGCTGGTTCTCATAGGTCCATAGTGCATTCAAATTTAAGAAACGGACAGAAATGTTTTTGAGAACAGAACCTCTTCCTCTGCAGAGGAAGAGACACAAGAGAGAGAAGGAACAAGCAGGGGTAGTGGGAGAGGGAGAAGCAGGCTTCCCACTGAGCAGGGAGCCTGATGTGGGTCTTGATCCCAGGACCCTGAGGTCATGACCTGAGCTGAAGGCAGCTGCTTAATGACTGAGCCACCCAGGTGCCCATGATATGGAGACTTTTATCCCAATAATAAACTACAATAGATTGATTTGGTGACTAATGATGCATATGTTTTAAATTTTTTTAACCAAGTAAGAGACAACTATGGAGAGCAAACAGGGCTGATGGAGGGGAGGTGGGATGGGCTTTAAGGAGGGCACTTATGTTGAGCACGATGGGTGTTACATATAAGAGATGAAATCACTAAATTCTTCTCCTAAAACCAATATTACACTATATGTTAACTAGAATTTAAATAGATATTTGGGGGAAAAATTTTTAACCAAGATTAACCGAATTGATGAGTCCCTCAAGTAAAAATAGTAGCACAAGCACTTCATCTAATGCGTATTATATCCTTGAGCTATCTTTTCTTTAAATTCTTTTAAATTCCTTTTAGATCTTTGTTAGTTTACGTTTTAAAGAATGTGTCTGCTAGGGGCTCCTGGGTGGCTCAGTCAGCTAAGCGTCTGCCTCCATGGTCATCTCCTGTTGATTGCATCTCCTATCGATCCACCAGAAACCACCCCCTTCTCTGACTCTTCTGCACCCTAGTCTCAGCCACCGTTTCCTCTCTCTTGGGTGTTGGGGGCAGCCTCCGTGCTCTTCTGCTTCTGTTTGTGCTTTCCTTCCATTCATCCTCCATACAGCAGCTGGGCTTTGAAAACATAACTCAGATTTTATCACACTCTCACTATAAAATAAAAAAATATATATATCAAACCCAGTTTAGTGGCTTCCCATTGCTCTTAGAGTAAAACCAAACTTGACAGTGGCTTACAAGGGCTCGGTGACCTGGCTCTTGAGTTTCCCTCTAACCTCATCTCAAACTCTGCCCCTTTCCTCTCTGCGCTTCCACCCAACTGGCCTCTTTTCCTTAAACATGCTCAGCTCCTAGGGGCGCCTGGCTGGCTATCGGTTAACTGTATGCCTTCGGCTCAGGTCATGGTCCCCAGGTCCTGGGATCGAGTCCCGACTTGGGCTTCCTGCTCCACGGGGAGTCTGCTTCTCCCTTCCCCCCTGCTCATGCTTCCGCACTCGCTCACTCTCTCAAGTAAATTAATAAAATCTTTAAAAATGCTCAGAGCCTTCATGCTTATCCGGTTTATTCTGTTACCCTTACT